ATAATTATTTGAAATATCTTAATAAACAAGTATATTTTCAGCTTAGGGCTATTCTACTCTTTTCATTAACAATTTGCTGAAAAGCTGAATTTATTATAGAAAATCCGTATGCGTATGCGGAAATAGTCCTGCTTTAGGTGGGGTCCAAAATTCCTTCAGCTACTCAAAATCACTTTTTCATCCAAAACAGGCCTCTGGGTTATTTACTTTTGCCATTTTTATAGCAGAGTTTAAATATTTTTCATTGTTCTTATATGACTACAAAAGAAAAATTCTACTTTCTCTGTGCTACCTGGAATTTTCGGTCATGTGGTAATGTACCGATTGGTTTTAGTTACATGTATTTTTGTACATTACATACCCATGCACACACACAGACTACTCTTCCTCCCCTGCTTGCGTCCTGGGTCAGTATAAGGCTACGCTGCTTCACTTCCTGTGCTTTAATGTAGATATGGAATAAGTGTAGAGTGTTTTGAAATGAATATTCAAATAGTAAATTATACAAATTTCTTTATTTTTTATTTTTTGGTCTGCTTAGCCTACCCTGAGGGCAGGGCTGGCACAGCATGTGGTGCTGGGGATCAAACCATGGACCATGGTCCCTGCGCCTGCATAAGCTTGCCTAAGCAAGCACTTTAAACCACTGAGCTACCTCACCAGCCCCTAAAAATTTATTTTGAAGTCTCATGCTATCTTAAAAATGTGTTAGCTTTTATAGTACAACTATCATAAAGTTAATGTCCTGCTTACAAAAAGTGTTTGAGCATTCTCTGACAGTCCTGGGGAACGTGTCACGCTGCATGAGCACTTGCTGCATCCTCCTGAAGGTCAGGGACCTGGGACCCTCACAGACACCATCTTGGCCATTGTCCAGAGACACTCTGGGAATCTGAGTGCATGGGACGGATTACAGCACGCATGGGGTGAAAACATCCACGCGATGTCTAGATGTCCGGATACTTGCTTAACACATGGACTATTTGTACTGAAATAGCTGCAGATGAATTTCCTCGGCCTCAGGACTATTACATTCTGCTCCTTGGGACGTGGCACATGGTTAAAAGTATTAACCATATTAACCTAGGAGTGCACCACTAGAGTGATGATTTGAGTCCCTATCAGACATGGATGGCTGAGAAATGAACCACAGTGGGTTCCTTTATTGTTGGTTCTCATGTTTCCAGACTCTGACCTGAGACAGCAAAACTACCCCAACCAAAGCAGGAGGACCTTTCACAATCACAAATAAAAAATCACAATGAAACATTGAACATATATTAAATCAAACTAGATGTAAAAAGACTTTCTTGAAAAAGTCAAAACAGTAATGCAAAGGAATAATTAGTTCCATTGGTCAAATAATAGTTAAACTCTTGACATTAAAATAATATCAAGATTGAAAGACAGCATAAACTCTCTCAAGAAAATTAAAGCAACAATTTAATACATTTAATTGTAACATACTTTACTCTATAAAAAAATGACGTGCTATCAGAATATCTTAAATGGGGGCCTGCCCATTAGCTCAGTTGCTTAAGTGTCCCAGATCCTCACGCCTAACCAGGCCTGCCCTGAAGGCATGCTGCGCCAGCACCCCCCAAAAAGTATCCAGAATATCTTACAGCTCTTTACTTACATGCCTTTAATAGACCAATTAAGAAAGGATACTATTTTCAAATGGTTTCATTAAACATGCCTTTTAAAATGAAAAGTATGAATTTTTTGGGTTCTAATTAATGTATTTATTATAATTTAACTAAGATAGCTTCAATGAGCATGTGAAACCCAGAAATTTGGTTACATTATCTCTATTTCCTAGTTCTATTGATTAAAATTTCTATTAAAAATATTGTTTGTTGGGCCGGGGAGATGGCTCAGTAGGATAAGCGCTTGGCTGGCAAACACAAGGATCTGAGTTCAATCCCCGGTTCCAAAAAAAAAAAAAAAAAAATTGTTGAGTTTCTTCAGACTGGTTTGAGATTTTCATTAAATTTTTTACAGAAGTAAATACCCCTTACATGCCCAAATCACCTGTATTTTTGGTAGGATACTTTCTTCTTGACTCCACTTGGGATGCACAGCCATCCTACTCTGTAGTTGGTTAGGGACAAGCTGTTCATGGCTGCTATCACGGTGACATCATGACCTCCATCAGGTATTTAAGGCTGATACAGTGAGGGCCACATTTTGATGCAGTCGTCTCCTCTGTGGCATTAGCCATGGTGCCCAAATTATTTTTCCTCGAACGTTTTTCTCCCAGTGCCATTTTACAAGACGTCAGCATTACCTGAGAGCTGCCGCCCTTTCTCTGGACTGACCCCAGCTTGCAAGATTGACCTTTCCGTAGTGTGTGCTTAGTTGAGCTTCTGCAATTTCAGCCCTGCTCTCCACTTTTCTGCCACCTTCAGGCCAACTCAGGGATCTGTAGGTAGAAGGAGCGCCTCAGTGGCATGGCCCAGTGGACGCCCCATCTTTATTTATAATCTCCTTGCAGTCCACTTGCCGTCTCCAGCCAAAGGCTATTTCCACTTGCACACTCACCTCCCCCTTACAGTCCTGTCCGCCTCTCAATACCCCAGCATTACTGGCCGTGAATGAATTCCCTGAGAACTTGGTGCTGTTAGTACATGTCTACCAGACTCACTAATTCCCAGGATTAGGAATCTGGACAAGGTACAGGAGGGTTTTGTCTTTGGTCCACTCTATCGGAGATCTCAGCCATGTAACTTGTGGCCTGAAAATTGCTTAGGTCACAAATTCAGGTTGACCCCAGCTGTTGGCTCCCCCTCTTTGGGAGTTTAGGTTTCCTCCTGACATATTGGCTGATTTTTCTCAAGTGTCTTGCCCACAGAGAAAGCCACGTGACACTGCATCCCTTCTGTGGCCTACCTGCAGATGTCACACAGTCCTGTGTCCACCTTCCTCTACTGGCCAGTGTAGCCACCCCACTTCATGGGGCAGAACTCATAGAAGTGTCTTCCTGGTTCACTCAGGTGAGAATGGGAGAGCACGTGGGCCAGAACTGTCACTGTGGCCATTTACAAAAAGCTGTGCAGTGGCAGACCTCAGCTTATAGTCTCCTCCGTTAAGCTTCCATAGGCCTATAAGTCGCATCAGCCTCTCCCAACTCTCCACACCGACAATCTTGGGCTCTCATCAGCGACCTGTGTGAGTTATCAACTCTTCGTGCACACCAGCTGCTCTACACATTACTTCAGCTCATGGGAAATGCAGCCAGCTTTGTGCTTCCCGCAGGATCTAGAGCAAGGCTTTGGATATAGTAGAAGGGTAGCAGCATCCGGATTAAAGTCAGATGAATCTGGAGTGATGACAAACTTGACTTTTATGCATCGTAAATGAATACGGCAGGCTTCACGAAGGATGTGGTAGTGGGGTGGATAACCTTCCTTAGACATAAGCGAGCAAGAGTCACAGCACAAATAACTAACTGCGTTTGGACTGAAGTAATTAACAAGGAGTGAGGGCTAGCAGAGGTATTGTTTCACATCTTAGAGTTCATTATAAATCTAAAATGTATTTAAAATTCATATAATTAATCCAAATTATATTCATTCAAAATATTAAATTTTTGTCTGCTAGCCTCTAATTGATTGTTGAAAAGGCCAATGGACCACATAAATGTTGCAATATTTTACACTTTAAAATGTGCATGTGTGTTTCTGTGCATGAGTGTGCATGTCTGTGCATGTGGGGGGGTAGGTGCCTAGGTGTACTTTGGTTAATACTGTTTTTAAGTTGAAAATAATGCATTATCATTATAACAAGCAAAACGTGTCAGTCACTTTCCCATTGCTTGGACAAAACATCTGACAGGAGTAGGGGTGGGGGAGAGAGTGGGGCCTTGCTGGAGTGGGGTGGGGACCTGGGGTCCTCCATGCTCAGCTGCTCCAAGGCAAGCGCAGCTTGGTCGGGGGCCTGGAGGAGGAAGGCACTCACCCAGGACCCCGGGAGGGAAGGCTGCCCATCACTGAGAGCACACCCTTCAGGCGCAAGGAGCGCCTCCACCCAGGCCCACCTGCTAGCTCATATTCATTGCTGACCTCCCCCACTGTGGAGCCGTGGATGGGCCAGCACCCCAGGTCCGTCCACCTGCCAAGCACACGAGACTTTAGGGGAAGGGTGTGCGTCCCAAGCAGAGCACCTGGATCAAAAGCAGCCTTCTGTCTTCCATGCTTATACTCAAGTTACCCATTCGGGTTTGCTGTGTGTTTACAGAGACTTCCCCATGCTCATTGCATGTGTTTCTGTATTATTCCACAAATGTATATATTGTACATACCACGAGTAATTACTCTTAAATTTGCCATCACTGTATTGTGTCAGTTATAATTTTTCTAAGTGCTAATTATGGGCTCTGAATCTCAGTTATCTCTTCAAAAAGACAATGTAGGGACCAGGTACATAGCTCAGTGACATAGCACCTGCCTGGCAAAGCAAGGTCCTGAGTTTGATTGCTGGTACCCCCCAGAAAAAATTAAACTGAAACCTAATTTACAGATTCTGTGAATTTGATATCTTATTGCAAAGTTAATTTCTTAAAAATAGTTTCTTAAAATAAAGTTTTGACAATGTGAGATAACTTTTGATGTTAAGCAGTTTGCCTGTTATCCTTAATTCTGCACTTGTGGGAACAGAGGGCAGCCCTAGGATCACACTGTATAAAGCTTATTATCTGTCACTAACTGAAACAACTACACTATACAAACATCATTGTTAATTATTTCAATGGAAATATGTGCTTTATCTCTTACCAACCATTAGAAAGTGATGCATTGAAAATGATTTACATGTACAATCTTCATTTCGAGGATAAATGTGTAACATACTAGCTTGTAACACTGGGAACTTTTTTAACTGTACTGGCATAGCTTTGGCATTTTAAGCACTGATTTAGAGTATGTATTTGCATATGTAACTAGAAATCAACTGAACATCAAATTACATGTTTGACAGTTACATACTCATATGTATTTTAGATGTCTGACCATGCTGAAGTGATGAGAGGAATCCAGCGGTATCCTGGCATTCAGTACCCTGTTCTTACCCCGAATCTTTATGGTTTTCACCAAGCCGTAAGTGTGTGCTTAGTTTCATATATAATATAT